GAGCAGAAAACACAAGCGCAGTTAATAATTTCCCACTCTCCTTCCAGCTCGACAGGGACTGAAATGAGGAGAAGAAGCATACAGCAAGGACGCCTATTTAAAATTTATTTTTTGCGAGGTGGAGGAGGAGGGGGAGCCAGAGAAGAAATGGCAAGACGCAGGAACACAACCCGTTTGGTTTGAAAGAGGGGGCGGCCTCTAAGTGCCACAAATACAAGCTAACATACACACACACGCTGAGGACAACACAAGTGGGCAATAAATTAGTGTCAAGGGTCTAAAGGGCAGATAGAGAGAGAAAGCGGTACCACAACATAGAAAAGGAGGAGTGAAAAAAGGTTGGGAAGGGTCGAGAAGGTAGTTGCGAGGGGAAGGCCGCGGTGTATGTTCAGCGTGCCAGAGGAGTTACTGCATAACTATGGCGATGGGGCACAACATCAAGGCTATCCGGAGGAGCCATTGTCATTCTAGGCATCGTCCAGATCAGACATCTTCGGCAACTTATAGGAGATATCATCCCAGGGGTGGCGATAGAGGCTCTGATGCAGGCGGCGTTGGTCCAGGTAATGACCTGAGGACGGGAATGGAGGGGCAAACGGGTAAAGGAGACCGAAGAGTGGCTTATTTTTATGCGTTATATAGATATATTTGTGTGTATTGAAACACGGGCATTTCAAGATATTTAATTAAGAAGAGGAGAGATTCTTTGGGTAGATGGAAACTTAAATGGCTGGTCCTGCAGCTCGTCGCCAGACAAGGGGAGGTGTACAGAAAAAAATAAACCAAATTAATCGTGCCTAAAAAAGTATTCTATGATTGGTCGACGTTTGCACCAAAGGCGTCACGTGCATTTTGTCACCGCGTCGTGGTTGACTGTGCGCGTTTAAATTAGTTCTTGAGAAATCTGTATGTAGCATCTTAAACGATATGCCGATTGATGCATGACTAATCCGAAAGGAATGCTTCCAGGAATTCACGACCTTTTCCGATTGGGCAGGCGCCAACAATCTGTTTGTTCTTTCACGTGAATCTGTGACCGGTTTCCAGTTTTTGCTTGGCCACCTGCGATAAATGGTCTCGTCTTCTGCCCGCTAAATGCTGTTTGTATATGTGGATTGAGACGGATTTTCCAGGTTGACCACATCCAGGTGCTGAGATAGAATATGAACGCAATCTATGAAAGAGATGGTTTAATCCTCGTCTGACGTTTCGCGTTTGAATTTGTCCGCATCATCGGAAACAAGGAAGGGGGGAAATATATAGATTAAATAGGCCTCTCCCACTCACTCTCGAAAGGTTCATCATGCTCTGTATTCAATGATCTTCTCTTCATGCCTAAGTAGTGCCTAACGGCCACGTATGGCACTGGCAGATCTATCCTACGGTTGAGAGAATTGGCATTCGATTGCCAGGCCTTTTACCATTTGCTTTCTATCCGGCTGATTACTGTCGCCCCTTCAAATCCGAATTGGTGATAATTTTCGAGGCTGTGGATGGCGACACGAGGTCGGATCTGTTTTCGCTTAACGACTAGACTGTACTCATACATGCGCGATCTCTGGTTATTTGCCAGTCATAGCGCAGTATATATGTATACAGGAACTAGAAGACAGGTGTCCCAAGAAATAGCAGTTGAAAAGTAATTTATTGCGTAAATTTTCGACGTCGGTTTCCAAGGTCGTCGCCGTCGTCAGACGTAGAGCACATACACTCCGGAGGACTTAAAAAAAGTATACGTGTTTAGAGTTTGTACCAGTGAGGAGACACCGTGGGTGTTATTTTGTTTTGATTAGCTCTCGACTGGGGTGATTCACCTTGAGAGTTTTGTACGCAGTATCCAATTCGATATACCGATTGATTCATCCAAATGCATGGCTACCAAGAACTCTCGGTTTTTATTGAAGAGACAGACTGACAATAGGAGTTCCATCCCAAGCGAAGGCAGGTATAGCTGGCTGATGAATACTAATGAGCCGGAACTGGCCATTTTAGTCTCCCTTACCTTTGTCGGAAATGTTCACCCGCCTACACTAATGACCGCTGTGCGGTTGTTGGCGGGACTCGATTGCGAACCTCAAAGGAAAACAGGCCCGTTTTTTCCGCAAGCACCTTACTAAACACGTATATTAAAAAACCCACAAGAAGAGGGTTCTGTGGACGATACCCTGCTATGGCTATGAATGAATAGTAATCCGACATCGAAGTCAGCTCACGGCAAATGAAAAAAAGCAGGAACTTGTAAGGCAGACAAAGCCAACAGCCAAAAGCCATTCTTTGAAGGGGACATTCACTCAAACCTATGCCAATTAAGGCAATTCGAAGCTTATAATGCGTACCAGAGTAGTCAAAATCGGGATAGGAAGAAGCAAGCATAGAACAGAGGTCGGAAGAAACGCGGTTTCGCAACAAAATGGGCAATGGAGACCACAGAGGAGCTCAGCATGAATAATATGTGGAGAAATAGACATACCAATGAAGCCGATACTGCGAGCCAGCACAAAGAGGCCGTTAAGGGTGCCCAGCGCTACGTACTCGTCGGCCTCCTGTCGAGTGAAGGCTCCACAATGACGGAGCAAATCAACCATCGCGACGCCAATGAGACCATCGACATTGAGGATCAGGGTGGGTCGCTAAAGACCAAAAAAATGCGTTTACCGTTAGCTTCGATAAAAAATATTAAAGGATGGAACGGCAAGGGAGGCTGAGAGAATAGGCCAATAAGGGTGGCCACCTACAGGACAGGAATAACTTCCTATTGATAAGTGCAACTAAAATATAGTAAGTAGGCGTTTTATAAAGCACGATACTTTGGGCATTTAGGGTGACGTACACAGTAAAAAAATGTTAACCTACTTCAATTGGACTAAACAGAAACGCACGCCTGCTTAATCAAACTGTCGGCTGTGGAGGCAGGAGCATGAGAGAAAACGGTTTAAATATTTCCCGGAAGTTACCAGCAGTTTATGAGAACCCCCAAAAACTAACCTTCGCAGTTGTAATCTTTTCAACCTCGAAGGCGTAATCCATCAGGGGCGTTGCAGGGAAGTTGGCGTGAGCAAAGTCGGCCAGAAGGCGTACCCGTGTGTCCGGATTACTGACCGATTTGACTCGGTGACCAATACCCATGATGAAACGGCCCTCCGCCTTCATAGACTCCACAAATTGCGTCGGAGTGAGACCCTTGTCGAAGGCAGTGGAGAAGTCACGAGCTGCGGCGTCCAAGGCACCACCAAAACGGTCACCCTAAATATTGGAGATAATGAAAAGCCATCAATTGGAGGAGGGGGGGGGTGGCATCAGATTCTCAGAAAACACTGCAACGAGACATTTAATGTTAGCTCGTCCGTAAGGCCTATAAGCACCTAGAAATGAATTCTGCCACATCGGCCTCAACCAGGGCCATTGTACTCCAACTGGAAACAAGATAGAGCAATGTGCGAAAAAATTCGAGGTCCAGATAAAATATTCCTTTCATCATCCCCGGAAGAGGAAGAAGAGGAGGTGGTTTCTGGGACCGAGGTGTATTTTGACTGAAGTTTCAAAAGCATGCTCGCTTCCATCGTCAGTGCGTAGTGTCTATACTCCTGTTCGCGTCAGATGAATGTGTCCGACCAGTAGTCTTTCCTAATGCCAATTAAACAGAGCCATGGACCTTCATCCCGCCTACCAAGCGCTCTGCAGAAGGCTAACATCGGCTAAGAACGGAGCAATAGGTCAGCCGGAGAGAGATAAGCAAGGCCGGCAGCCGGCAACCGAGAGCAAAGAGGGTGGAAACGCTCACGAGACACAAAAACGACTTGACACAGC